AGCGAGCAGCAGGGGCAGGGTCCTCTGCCTGCCAGGTGCTGGGCACGGCAGAGGCATCCCCCGGCTTGTGCCGCATTGCCTGGGGACCCCGGTCCCTCTTGATGGTCTCCCCTGCAGGTGCTGTGCGTGACGGATGTGGCCCCTGAGCCGCGGAGCTGCCGGGTGCTGCCTGGAGCCCCCGGTGCTCTCCAGTGCAAGGCGGATGTGACAGTGTCCTTGGACCCTGTGGAGTGTGTGGATGCCTGAGCTGGCACCGGTGGCTCTCTGGTGACAATAAACGTGCTTGGGCTGGCTTCATCGTGTCTGTCCTTGCAGGGGAGGGAGGTGCTGTGGGGTGGGGGAGCCCACCCAGGTCTGGGAGCTCAGGGCTGCTCTGCCAGGGAGAGCGGTGCAGAAGCACCATCTTGCCCATGAGGCTCCTGAGCTCCCTGAGCCCTGCAGGGCCTTGTCTGGGCCAGGGGCTGCCCCGGGTCAGGCCAAACAAAGCTGGGGATGGGCTGTGCCCTGGGCAGAGGGCAGGACATCACACTCGGTGCTCCGGAGATGCTCCGAGAAGAGGGTAGTAACAGTCTGGCTGAGAGTGTCGCAGGGGGCAGCAGCAGCAGGGCTGGAGCTGATCGTAGTCCCCAGCCTGCGACTGTGCAGGGGCTCCTGGGTCCCCAAGCAGGGGGGCAGCCCCATACCCTACCTCATTGTGAGCATTGCAGCGAGGGGGGGGGGCCTGCCTCCTGCTGCCCACTTTGACTTGGCCTCTGCGTTCCATCAAGCCACAGGGACCCACAACAGCACCAGTGGGGCTCTGGCCTCACAGCCCCACTGCCCCCCGGCCCCTGTGAGCGGTCCTGCCTTCCCTGGGTGCCGTGGCTGCTCAAACACCTGGCAGAAATAAAAAAACCTCACTTGCTGATCATCACTGGCCAATTGCTGCCCCGCTGGCAGCCCCAAGGGACAGCCTGACACCCGCTGGCTGCAGGGCACAGCCTGGGGAGCCTGTGCTGGCAGCACGGTGCTGGGCTGAGCTGTGGGGAGCAGCAGGAACTGATGGGGCTTTGCTGGGCAGTGAATGACTGCAGGCAGGGTGCTCCTGTCCCTGTGTTGCCCCTGCTGGGAAAGGGTCTTGCTCCCCCTCCCCTGCGCTGCAGGAGACCCAGGCACAGCCCCTGCCTGGCACCGGGGCACCCAGCTGTGCTGTGGCAAACCCGCCAGCCACTGGGGGGGGCCACCTCCTCCCCAGGGTCAAGGCTGGGAGTGCAGCATTCCATCTTGGTCACAGTCCCTGTCCCTGTGGGAGGCACCAGGGCTCTGCCTCACCCAGCAAGGGCAGACACCATGCTCTTTGTGAAAGGAGCCCTCCGAGTGCCCCTGGCTGCAGCCCAGCCCTGCACCGTGCTGCAGTGCGTGGGTCTTGGCAAGGCCCTCGCCCGCTCCAGGGCACAGCATGGCCCAGTCGGAAGCCACTGGTCTTCCCAGGAAACCTGGTGGGCACCAGGGCCACCAACCACAGCAGAGGACATGGCCTGGTGTACCCACTACGGCACAGGTCGGTGTAAACACCCACTGGAGCTGTTGTGGGGTTCCAGTGCCCACCACTGAGCTCAGCCCCACTACTTCTATCCC